GCATAAGCTACATGAAGGTAAGAAGTGTGGAATAACTTTAATAACAGTTTGAAGTCAGATTATAGAAAGCCTCCAAGATTGGGCCAAGGAGGTAAAATTTTGTTCAGTAGGCAGTGGGAAACCATGGGAGGTATCCAGGCAGAGAAGTGACTGTATATACATATATACATACATATATATATATATATATATATGTATATATATATATATATATATATGTATATATTATGTATATATATATATATATATTCAAAAGCTGTGCATTTTCAACAACTTGAAAACAATTTTTTCTCTTTGTTCATTTATAAAACTATCCTGTTCAAACTCAGCCCTAGTTCACCTTATATAAGGAAAGCAAAAACTACTCTATTCAGAACTTATTTTAGATTATAATCTTTAAAATCAGTGATTGTCACTCTGATTATTGTAATCAAAGAACAATGGAGGATAGTAACATTAGACTCAAGGTGCTTCATTTAACTGCTCCTTGGAGTGGTCTAGAGCAGAGGTGTCAAACACAATTCTGGCCCACAACACTCCTGAGTGGGCCCAAACCAGATTAAAATATAATTGGAAAATATTTAACAAAATAAGTCAAAATACAGTAAAGCATAGATAATGTTACATTTTAAAACCAAGTCAGTATGTGGCCTGGAGGTATCTTTATATATGTCTAGTTCAGTGGGCTTCATTCTGAGTTGACATCACTGGTCTAGAGCATAGATAGTTATCGGTAGCTGATATGTCTACAGCACCTGATAAGAACATTATACTGTGAATTGCATTAAGTTTTAACTTTGTATATTTATTATTCTCTAATTTCAAAAGTTAAGCATAAGCTCTGGCAGGTCTTATTAAGCTGGAAAGGCTTGAAAGATAGGTCTGGCAACATGATCCCAAGAACTGCCTAGCTAACTTGGACAGGCTCATCATGACGAGGTTGGCCACAGGGGGCTTCGGTTTTTTAGGCCCAGCAATTTATGAAGAATCCACTAAAGTGCTGAAGAGCTCTAGTCAGTCAGGCAATAGGCACTTATTAAGTGCCTTCTGTGTGCGAGGCAGTGTGCCGAGTGCTGGGGATTTAAGGCAAATGACAGTCCCTCCTCTCAAATGTGGGCAACAACATGCAAAAAGCAATATACAGGAAAAATTGAAAATAATCAACAAAGGGAAGAATTGCAGGAGAATGCGAAGAATACCATCTGTAGATGGTAGGATTATAGCTGGAAATTAAAGAAAGCCAGGAGGCAGAGAGAAGGAAGGAGAGCATTTCCAGCATGGGGGACAGCCAGAGAAAATACGGGGAGCTCTCTTTTCAAGGACAGCAAAGAGGAGGTATAAAGTACAAGACTAGAAAGTTATGTGTGGGGGGGGAGGGGATCCAGGCTGTGTCACTTCAGTGAGTACAGATGCCAGCGAAATCAGAAATCAGTGTTGAAAGGAAAATTCTTCCTTTGGGCTTTTCACCCTGATTAATGAGGCAAAACCCAGGACAAAGAGAATTAAAAGGAATTTCTTATAAATACGGCAAGGTAGCAACTGATGAGCTGATCACTGAAGATCAGGGATGGCTTCAAGGTGGGGCCAGCTTTTATAGGTGATTTTAAGACAGTTCAGATAGGTCTACCTCAGCAAAAGAGGTTTGGCCCTTGCATCTCACTTCCTCCCCAAGGTAGCAAGAGCGTGACGTTTTGCAGATAGGAGTACAGAGGTCACAGATAAGGGATGACTTGCCTATGTGACCAGGGGACTGGTTGATACCTCCCCCAACACCAGTTGACAAGCAGGACTGGGAGCAATGGGATACCGAATCAACATAACTTTCAATAACAGATGCTTGAACCTTAGAAGTGCATCATCTGGGCTGCTATGAATCTCTTTCAAATCAAAAAGGATTCTCCCCACCCCCCCATGTGTTTATTGAAAATTTCACTGGGGCTAAACTGCCATGTTAATTTTCTCACACTTTATCTGATGGGACTAAAGTTTGACATTGAGACAAATGACCTTTCTGGCAAAACACTTAAAAGCTCACAGCAGCCTCACTTCCTCAAATGGAGTAGGACTTTATTGGAGGAACATTTGTATGATGGTTAAAAGAATGATACCCTTTGGAGCAAATTGGAAGAACCATCTAGTTGGTAAAATTTCTCCGTTTTAGCTATCAAGCACTGCTTAATCCTTGCTGTACTTTTAAAGAGAAACCTTTAATTCTTCCTTTTTCTCTGTGGAGATGCAGGTGTTGAAAGTCCCCAAGTTGTAGCCAGTTCTCCTTACCGTTATAGAACTAAAAACAGCTTTTTCAGTTTTTCTTCGGTTAATGTGGCTTAAAATGGTCCAGGGGAGGAGGAAAAAGAAAAAAAAAGAAAAAAAAACAACAACCTTCCCTGTGACTGTTTTCTGCCAATTCCGGAAACCTTTTGGTCACTTTTTGTTCTGTTCTGTATTAGAAAGGGGAAAAAAGACATTATGGTTTTGTAAAAGACTTTTGAGTTCATCTAGTCCAAAACCATCTTAAGATGAACAAACTAAGGTTGAGGGGAGTTAAATGCCTTGCCCGATGTCACACACTTGGTAGAAGGGGGGGAGCTGGGTTATGAGCCCAGGTCTCCTCAGTTTGTTCCAGTGCCCCTTCTATAACATTCCTAATTGATTAGGATCCACCCCATTTAGGGAGGAACCCCATCAATCCTATAAACAGCTGTTTTCTTTTTTTTATGTTTCCGAAGCCTAGCACAATACTTGATAGAGGCTGTGCATAAGTGTTCCCTTCCTCCCATCCCGCTCCCCTCCACTTTCCTCTTATTGAAATGCGTTGATTGACTATCCCATATTTGTTCTATATTTGTTAAGGCATTAAAGCTCAACCTGGTATAAAATAATAATTAGCTTTAAGTGGTTCAGGTTATTCATTAACCACTACATCCAGGTCCTGGATCCCTTCAAACCAGCTTCTAACTTTTTGAAGAGATTGATTCCTTTTTTGTACATTAAAAAACTCACTTTACAAGAAAAATGATAATTTACAATAATGTATTCAAAGAGAGCACTGTTGCTTTTAAATAGTATAACACAATTCTTAGACCTGATGTCATAAGCCATGAATTGCTTGCTATGTAAAATACACTGACTTCTAACCCTCTAAGTTAATGAAGATTCTGGCTGGCCTCTAGGGGGCAAACAAGTCACATAATAACCTAGAAAACAAAGTAAATGCAGTGTATTCCTTCTTATGGGCTCATGTTCAATCAATTTTTTCATAGAGAAATAGAATTAAAGAATTAGAAGGAATCTCAGATGTCACCTGAAGCAAAACATAAATCCTATCTACATCATCACCCCAAATAGGACATCAATTCAGTAATAAGCATTCTTTCAGTCTAATTTGTCAACCATTTTGAATCTATCATCTAGTTTTTAGCTTTCCACCTTAACTACAAAGGTATTAGACAGACTTTGCCAGATACCCTGCTGAAATAAAGATAGAGGTAATGAGATCTTCCCTGCCCTTGAGAATAAAATATGCAAAGTATTAATCCTAATGCAAGATAGAACCTTATTAAGAGAATAGTCAAAAAGAATGGCTTAAGTGAATCAAAAAGTGAGGGAAAACATCTTTATATGTATGCTTATTGTAAAGTCTGTGAATGTGTATCTTGAGGTCCTTTCCATCTGTGAGGTTTTATTGTGTTAGCTTTTAAAAAAAAATTTATCTTTCTACTCAATCTGATGCTGGCTCAGAATTAACCTTACCTTAAAACTATTCCTTTTCAGTATTTCATCATTTTCTTATAGGATAAAAAAAACAATGAAGTGAGTGGAATGTTTAGAAATAGACAGGTACTGATCTATAAGTATACTTTCCTTAGGAAATTAAGTGGAAAAACACTGTCCTAAGTATCTGTATGGTATCCCTTGGATACTGAGCTGTTAGTAGCTCCCTTTGTCCATTTTTTCCTAGGATTTGAGACTAACTGTGCCAAATAATTAAAATCAGGAATCTATTGGAATGTGATGTTTTATGTCCATTTGTTATCTACTCCTATTTTAATAATATCTTGACTCTCAGGTTGCTTGGGGAAATACAACTTGCCATCTACAGATAAAGGTCAAGAATTTAGTGAAAAATTATAGCATTATCAGATATAAAATTATTTTATAGATGCATTCATTACTCATTATAATCTCCTATTAATATGAGCCTTTCTGAATAATGCAGACTTCACAAGGCTTATGTTGATGTTTAAAAGAATACTGCCAGTAAGGCCAGATAAGCCTTAAAATGTCACAGAATCTTCCAGTGGGTTGATTTTCTTGACTTCTGTTGCTATACTAGTGGACATTTTGAAACTGCATATTTGCCTTTCGTTTAATCCTGAATCCAAAAACTTTCCAAGCTTAGAGTATTTTTCTCTTTTAATAAAACTTATTCCATTTGAGAAGTTCAAAACTTTGTTACACATTTGCTTGAATCACTATATCAGTCATGTCTGATTCTTTGGACCCCTTTGGGGTTTTCTTGGCAAAGATACTGAAGTGGTCTGCCATTTCCTTTTCCAGCTCATTTTACAGATGAGGAAACTGAGGCAAATAGGGTTAAGTGAATTGCCCAGAGTCACACAGCTAGTTACTCAGGAAGATGAGTCTTCCTGACTCAAGGCCTGACACTCTCTCCACTTTGCCACCTAGCTGCCTGAAATGTCCCCATACAGAGGTCTAAATCACTCCAGAAAGACTACTTGAAAATGTTCATTTTCTTACCTATGGGTTTACTCACTTCTTCTCATCTAAGATGTATATAGAGTCAAGATTACATAATCATTTGGCTGCTGCATTATTAGATTCAGAATTTAAAACTAAAAGAGGTTATTGAGGAAAAATGTAGGTCTCCATTTCTAGAAATATTTTCAAAGTAGAGTGGCTTAAATGTAATTCTGTCTGGAGGCAGAGAGATTGTAAATCCTTTGACAGAAGCCTTGTCTTATTCCATCTCCATTTAGAGTTTGCACGTGGAGGTTCCTTCCAATCTAGTATCCAATTATTCTATATTTGCCAGAAATGAATCCAAAGATTACTGGATTTACGGTGAGAAGATGTGAATGTGAATATACTACTGAATGTTGCTACTTGCAACCTTTGTGAATGTGGGCCAAGTCATTTTCCCTCTTTGGGTGTTCAGTTTCCTCTTCTATAAAACAAGAGAATTGGGTCAGAGGTGTAAAATCTGAAACAGTAAGTAGAACCTAAAACTCCCACCATGATTCTGAGCCAGATTAAACCATAATTGGGAAATATTTCACAAAATAAATGAAAATACAATACAACAAAGATAATGTTAATTTGTGGTTTTCTAAATCAACATGTGGCCTGAAGGAATCCATTTTGTTTTGAATTTGTCACCACTGGACTGGATCCTTTCTAGATCTAAGGCTGCTCTGTCAAATACCTTTGCTGAAATCCATGTATTATGTGTCTATGACATTATTCTGGCCTACCAGTCAAGTGATTCTGTATGACCTTTTTTTAAATTAAATCATTCTTTGCAAGTCTTAAAATATCATTATTATAATGGAGAAAAACATCTCATATATGTGAGAATTTTGTTAGGAGGAACTGAAGAATATTGATCTATAATATTAAGACTCAACATTTGTCTTTTGGGAAGTATAATTGTATTTTCATTTCAAGTATCATGGCTCCTGTTTCCTGTTTTCTCTGATTTTCTACAGATTATTGATAGCTGATCAATTTATATGAAAGGCAGCATAATGTAATGGGTAGAAAGATGGCCACAAAACCAGAAAGAGCTGGGTTCAAGTTATACCATGGACACCTACTGGTTGTGTAACCCTGGACACTAGACGGAGCTTTAGGCATTTCTCTAAGACTGTGTTGCAGAGAAAGTACTAGCCTTCATTGTTGTTTGGGGTTTCCTCCTCTGTTAGTTCTCTGTGGTGATGATATCACAGATCTAGCCCCCATCAGCTTCTACTATTCAGATTTTCCTCACCCTCAAATTTAGTTTATCTAGACATATAGATGCCATCTCCTCACTTAGTCACGTATTCTCTCCAAGATGATCTCTCATCGTGAACTAAGGAAATACGAACTTTGACTGCTACACTTTAATTCATTTTAAAACCTAGCATCCACTTTAAACCTAGTAATGCTTACTTCTCAAACTGACTTCTGAAGTTCATTCCCTTTTTTATTGTAAGGCAGAATTTTTTAGTATGGTTTTCATATTAGCTATCAGTTTGTCTTTGTTGATGGAAGCATTTGCAGATATAAATTTCCCTTCAAGGACTGTTTTGGATCATCCCAAAAGTTTTGGTATGTTGTCTTACTGTTGTCATTGTAATTGATGGCGTTATCTGTTGTTGCTATCATTTGTCCTTTGACCCACTAATTCTTTAGGGGTTAAATTACTTAGTTTCCATTTGTTTAAATCCTTTCTTCAAAGACTCTTTATGAATCATAATTTTTATTGCACCGTGGTCAGTAATGGATGTTTAATATTTCTGCTTTTCTCTGTTTATGAGATTTTTCTATGTCCCCCATTTCCTTTGACCCAGAACTTAATCAGTTTTTGTAAGGGTATCGTACATAATTGAGGAAATACATACACTTTTCAGTTTTCATTCAGCAATTACCAGAGATCTAGCATATCCAACTTTTCTTAAATTCCACATAAGTCCGTAACTCATTTCTTCTTTTACCTTTTTGTTAGCTTTGTCTAGATCTGAAAAAAGCAGATCTCTGATCATAATTTTACTGTCTTCTTTCTCCCTGTGATTTAATTAGCTTTTCTTTTAAGTACTTAGATGTTATATTATCACATATGATGCTTTTGAGTATAATGCTTATAAGTGTTTAAATAGATGCTTATTGATTGATCGATTGATTTCTGCCTTCTATACCTGAGAACTGTTCATTTCTTTCTTTTTTTTTCTTTTGCTTTTTGGTGAGGCAATCAGGGTTAAGTGACTTGCCCAGGGTCACATAGCTAGTAATTGTCAAGTGTCTGAGGCTCAATTTGAACTCAGGTCCTCCTGACTCCAAGGCTGGAGCTCTATCCACTGCACCACCTAGCAGCCCCAAACTATTCACTTCTTAAGCAGAATTTTTAACACTTGTGCCTTCTACATTTTATTAAGGTGACCCTTTTGTTGACAGTGGTTAGATAGAGGTGAACTTTTGATCTGTGAGTTCTGAGTCAGGACATACACTTTCACCTCTAATTTTTGTCCCATATCCTCCATTCCTGCCGGGACTACAGGTGCCTCAATTACTCTGTGATTTTGTTCAGACAAGTACAGACCACAATCTGAAATGTTGACAGGAGAGTAAATTTATTTGGGCCAAAACTAAGAATACTTTTTTTGGGGGGGGTGCTTTTTTCCCTTTGTGGAAGGAAAAAGGAGTGGAATATATGAAGAAAATTCTTGAATCTCCATGTCCCAAAGCAAGGAATTTAAAATATGCAGCTGCATATAACTTGGGGAGAGCTTTTCATGAAGGACAAGGTGTTCCGCATAATGATGAGGAAGCTGAAAGGTAATCCAAACTGAGAATGAAGCTTTGTCCATAAAAGGGCTGCTGATTTTTCAGGTAACATGACTGTGACTTCTCCTCTTTCTTTTTCAGACTGTGGCTTTTCGCTGCAGACAATGGGAATCCAAGAGCTAGTGTCAAAGCTCAGAGTATCTTGGGATTGTACTATTCCACAAAAGAGCCTAAGGAGTTGGAGAAGGTAAGTTACCTACCATATTTTTTTTAATGTGATATTACCTTGAGATTAATAAGTCATTCTTTTTTTTGCCTCCTTTTGGGTGTGTGCTTTGGGAGAGAGCTAAACCTAGTAACAGTTAGATGTGGAACCCTTAACATCCTTGTTTTTCATTTGACAGAGTGCCAGATTACTGCAGGTGAAATTTGCCTTTTAAGGACTGCAAGCTGATACACAAGATTTTTAGCAGAAACACTGACAAGATCATTAATTATAGTATATTTTAAAACCTAAGAGAAAATGTGGGAAGAATCCTGAAATTAAAATGATCTTTCAAAATATAAAAAGGTTGATTATATTGTAATAGATAATATAATAATATAATAATAATAATAAATGTAGTAATATGAGAAGATAGATTCTGTATTTTGTTTCTGAGCCTAGTTTCCTCAGCTGTGAAATGAGAAGGTTGGACACTAGATGATCTCTGAGGTCCCTAATAACTGTAATGGCCGATGAGTCTAGGGGTAGAGTTTATTAAGTAAATCAAGTCACCCTACTTCCCCCTTAAAGTAAGTGATGATGCCCTGATACCTTACAGAAGTGAGAACAAGTCTCACTCAGTCAAACATTTTAGATTAAGTGCAAAATCTCCTTGGGGAAATTAGCCTGACATTGATAGGAAAGGTATGCTCAGTAATGCTCTGTAGGTTTTCTTATATTACTAAAAAAGAAAAAAAATGTTAAAGTCCAGTAGAAACGTGGTCTCTCCTGTTTATGGCTGGCAGTAGAAACATCAACTGGAAAATACTGGAAGGGAGAAAACATTATGTACTTGATCCTGTTAGTGAGAAGTAATAGAAAACTTTGTTTTTTTTTTTTTTTGGCAAAAATTAACTCTTTAAGGGTACCTCCCACTAAAACCAAGGCCATGCAATATGAATTATTATTACTCACTTAGAAATATCTAGATGTAAACCACAATTCAAAATTATTTAATATGATGTTCAAGCACTTTTCATACTTACTAATTAATGCTATCCCTGCTTTGTCTGCATGAAGGAGCCAAGATTAAAGGAATGAATCTGATATTGTCCAATACCCTTTTGTTTTCAACTTCCACTGACTTTAAACTTTTCATATCTTCCTTATCTTTTTAGTTTTTTAAACATTCCTCTGAAATCTCCTTGACAAAGGCTTCTCTTTGTATGTACTGTCTCATTATAAGTCTCAAGGGCTTTCCTTCTTTCTCCATTCCTTTTGGAGGACATTATAGGAAAACATGATAAAATTAGGCCATTTGGTGATTGGTAGTGATTAGGGAAATGACTGAAGACTAACACAAATATAGAAAAGATAATCCTCTCTCTATCATTACTTAATCTGTTTTAAGTAAAAGAGGTGAGAACATTTCTGCAGTCTGTCATGTGGATGCATATCAGTACATTGCTAGGCAAACATGTGCACTGAAGGTACTAAACTATTCCTAAGTGAATGACAGGAATTGTTGTCTTTCAGTCCTGTCAGACTCTCCATTACCCCATTTGGGGTTTTCTTGGCAAAGATACTGGAGTGGTTTGCCATTTCCTTCTCCAGCTCATTTTGTAGATGAGGAAACTGAGGCAAGCAGGGTTAAGTGACTTGCCCAGGGTCACACAGTTAGTAAGTGTCTGAGGCCAGATTAGAACTCAGGAAGATGAGTCTTCCTGACTCCAGGCCTGGCACCTATCCACTGCGGCACCTAGCTGCCCTCCATCACAGTGATACTTAACAGTGTAGTTCTTCAGCCACCTGTGATTTCACTGGTGTGGATACTCCTTTCCCCTAAGAGAGAAGATGAACTCCTCTATCTATGTCTTCTGGAGTTGATGAAGCCCTAATGCTGAAGCTGTTCTTGTTTTGAGGCTATTTGCAATGTTCTTTACTTAGATGAGCTCACTGGACCCTCACCAGATTCCTGTGAGGTAGACAGCAATACTATTGCTAACATTTTACAGATGTGGGATCTGAGGGAGGAAGGGTAAGAGATTTTTTGGCTCCAGGTCACAAAGTTATTAAGTGATAGAGCTGAAGTCAAACTAATGTCATCTGATTCGACATCTTCTGCTTTTCTTCCCCCTATACCAGTCAGTCAGCAGGTATTTATTAAGCACCTGCCAGACCATGTGTGCATGCGTGCGTGTGGGTGTGCACACTTGTGCGTGCGTGCCAACCACTGTGGACAAAAATGAAAATTAATTAGTTCCTGTCCAGAGAGATTTATCTTTCTAGGTATGTGCAAGATACATACAGAAATCATACCAGATGATCTTAGAGGGGAAGCCAATAATAATTGGGGGAGGGGGCCAAGAAAAGGCCTCTTCCCCACCCCCACTCCATGTACTTCATTTAAAGTATTAGCTACAAAGTTATTTTTTAATGGCAAGTCGTTATTGTACTTTTCCTTAGGCATTTTTTTGGCATTCAGAAGCTTGTGGCAATGGAAACCTGGAGTCCCAGGGTGCACTTGGTCTCATGTACTTTTATGGACAAGGTGTTCCTCAAGATATTGATGCTGCCCTTCAGTGCTTGAGGCAAGCCGCTGACCGTGGGAATGTCTACGCTCAAGGCAATCTTGTTGAATATTACTATAAAATGAAGTTTTTTACGAAATGTGTCGCATTTTCAAAGAGGTAAATAATTTGGATGAAAACATTTAAGAGACTATTTGCTAATGATCTCAGTCAAATCAGTATAACTGTAGATTATGTTCTGTAGCACTTGACAGCTCACACAGTGCTTTCTTCACAAGCACCAATGGAGACAGGTAGTACAATTATTATTCCCATTTTACAGAACAGGCCAACAAATTGTCCAAGGTCACATAGCTAGTAAATGGCCAAGCCTAGGACTGGACCTTGGGTCTTCTGATCCCAGAGCTAGTCTTTTTCCACTGTGGCACCCTGGTAGATGCCTTGTTGTGACTACAGAATCCAAATACACTTTGGTGAGTTCTTCAGCAGGCCAGCATCCATTTTTATATATGTATATGTCTGTATATGTATATACATATGTATTTATAACTGTATTTTAATATAATTGTTTTCTTTTGTAATCTGTGTATTTTATACATTTACAAACATTATTCTGAGAAGGGGTCCACAGACTTCACTAGGCTGTCAGAGGGGTGCTCTATAACACAAAAAAGTAAAAAATCCCTCTTCTAAAGTAAGGGTGATCACTGGTTTAAAAACAGTAGTTAAGGGGTTGTTTGTGTTGTTGTTGAGTTATTTCAGTCATGTCTGACTCTTCAGGATCCCATTTGGGATTTCCTTGGAAAAGATACTGGAGTGGTTTGCCATTTCTTTCTCCAGCTCATTTTACAGATGAGGAAACTGAGGCAAACAGGGGTAAGTGATTTGCCCAGGGTCACAAAGATAGTAAGCGTTTGAGGACAGATTTGAACTGAAAAAGAGGAGTCTTCTTGACTTCCAGCCTCGTACTCTAATCACTGTGCCACCTAACTGTCCCATTAAGGGGGTGTAGGGGGCCAAATTCCCTTTATCCATCTTCTAACCTTGTCCCCTGGACCATGAAATCGACTGTGCCCAGCTCATTCCAGCTCTACCACTCCTAATCTAGGTCTGCATTTTAAAGGAAAACTTGAATACTATAAAGATATAATTACAGGAAAGAGATGAAAAGGTGCTTTTTAATTTATTTTTAAAAATATTTATCAGGAAACATTAGACCTAAGACCTTTGGAATTGAAAATATTAATAGGACCATTGTGAGGGAAAAGGAAAATGTATTTTTCCCTTTAAAAGTATTTCTTGAACAAATCTGTCACTATTGAATAATGAAGAAGAGCTGATTCAATAGGAATTTGAACAGAACATCTTGATTCTTTTGTAGATGAAGGGCAGTTGAGCTACAATCACTTCATTGGACCCCAGGGTTAGAAAGACAGAGTTATTAAGTATCAGAATTTCCTCATGAGGAACACAGTCAGGCAGAAAGTCAGTTTTGAACCTTTCAAATACAAAAGCATTTACATTTAAAAGGCTTGGGGACTTGTAACCCTCTTAAAGCAATTTTCTAGTGCATAAGGACTGGACTCGTGACAACTCCTGGATGAGGAAGCCCCCCCTTACCACTGCAAGTTGGAGTTTTTGCAATCTGTAATTTTGATGCTTTGCTAGAGCTCCCGTGCCCAGGTTTGCACACTATCAAAGGCAGAACAACTTTGAGGCCGGCTCTCTATCTATTACACCATCCTGCCTCTAATTTTCTTTTCTAGTATTCAGACTTTATAGAGTTGAGTCTGGTAAAACCAAGGGGGATGGGAGGGGGCAAAATAATAATAGCACTTTGGATGTGTTTATCATTTCCTCGTGACAACCTTGTGAGTCGCCTAGTGCAGATAGTAGTATCTGCATTTTACAAATGAGAGAACTAATGCTTAAGGAGGTTAGGCCATCCAGTTAATAAATACCAGAGCTGGAATGCAAACTCTCGCAGTCTGAAACCCAGCGCTCTATCCTTTACAGCACCTCATCAGTTAGTCACCTTCCCCAGGTACATAAGATCAGTCCTGTTACTGAAGAGAGGCAGATACACATGGAGTTCCGTGTGGAACCTGATTTGTGCAAAAGGGCTTGATCCACAGGGGTCTTCTGATGTTTAAATGAAAAATTAACACCTTAAGCTTCATTCTAATTTTGCCATTTCTATAACAGGATTTCTGAATATGATGTCTGCCATGATGTTCCCACAATAGCCCAAATGACTGACTGTCTTCCTGAATATATAACCAGAGGCATAGCGTTGGCTTCCTTCTACTATGCAAGGTGCCTTCAGCTTGGCTTGGGTATCACAAAGGATGAAGTGGAAGCCAGAAAGTATTATTCCAAGGCATGCATCAAAACAAACTGGAAACTCCCCCAAGTATTTTTCTTTTTTTTAGTTGAAACTTTAAAGCCTTGGATTTGGGTGTGGGTGGTGTTTCTTTTTTTAAATTTATTTAATTTGTAGTACTGTCAACTTCCAGCCATCTATAAGAAAATTCTGAGTTGCACAGTGTTTGAAAATCCATCATCATTAAAATTATAAAGCAGAATAGATGAGGTCCTATAGTGATTATTTTCTCTTGTTCCCCATTTTCTATACAATCTGGGGTCCTCAGGGTGACTTTATGAAACAGAACTTTTACTTCTTTCTCTCAAAAAATTTGACCTACACAGCTCAGCTTAAACTGATCCTTTATATCGGTCTGAAGGTGATATTCTGTGTGTGAGGATGAAGGGGAGAGCTTGGCTTTGTGTGGATCTCTGGGCATCTCTATAGAGGTGGTTTTTCCTGCATTGTAGCTGCTATCGTAACTAATATGGGGGATATATATATAGACAATTTTCTCCCTTCCCCTTTCTTTTCAATCTAAAGTCCAACTGCCTCCTTATTTGTAAGTGAGGAAATAGGCCCAGAGATGTCCAATGACTTGCCCAAGGTCACAAAGGAAGTTAGCAGAAGAAACTAGATTCAAGCTTAAGTCCTATAGCTCTTAAATCCATTGTTCTTTTCACTGTTGTCCATGCTTCAGGCCAAAAAGCCCAGTGTTTCCATTTTCATTTAATATGTCATAATTTAAAACATCATCACTCTAAATTTGACAGTTACTTTTGCCTTGGCCCTGGTGTGACCTCCCCTGTCTTAGATAACTTTTAGAGGTTTATTTAACCTAACACTTTTGAAGCTAAAATAGTCCTTGTCAGTCAGGATTGGATTTTGAGTTTGCCCTGTTCCTTTGAGGAAATCAGTATAGAAATACATCTAGATGAAGAAATTACTTTGAAATTTAATGTATTTTAATTATATAAAACTTAAATGTAAAAACCTAGTTCAAGAATTTTCATCCAAATAATATACTGTTCCTTCTTCTGCTCTATTTTAGGCGTGTCATCTGTGTCCTTCACTGGCTGATGAACTTTACTCTTTGGTAATTTGTCAAAGAATTTAAGCCATAATACATATTAGCAAAGATGAGCAACTCCTAATTATGTGTGTATTTTTTGTAGTAGTTTGTATTTCATTTTTCTGTAAATCTAATTATAGGAATTTTACTCAGTTGGGCATGTTACTTATGACACCATCTGTGTTCTTCAGTTCAAACACTCTTTCACAATATAAAACACAAATTAATGTCATGAAGTCCTTGGGACCCCAAGAGATGTGCTGGGACTAGATAGAAACCATTCCATATAGAAGAACACATTCTAGATAGAGAAGTAGCCTTCTGTGTTCTTTGAAATTACTATTAACTGTTAAGATTTTTTAAAACTATCATTGCTTGCAGTCTTCTTCTGTATATTGTTATTCAAAGATCTTAATTAAAATGGGTAAAAAAAATTGTTTTCTGGTGCACTTTACTACAGACAGCTGCCACTTTCATGAAGAGTTGGAGGTAACCAAATGAAGCAAGATTTTTTCCTTTGTATTTTAACCAAATGTACTCCATGACTATTTAAAAATATTTGACCCTAGGTGGAGTTAGTAACAAAAATGGGGGCAAATACTGGATTAAAATGGGTCAGTTCATTCAACAATAAAAACCGAAAGTAAATGCTGTTTTTGTAAAGTAGCTGTAATACAGCATAAGTATGCTCTATTTCAGTGACAGAGATGGAAAAAAAAAATCTCACAATGGTCAAATTTCCAAAAATAATTGCTCTAGAGGTTAGTGTAAAAATCTTTGTCTTGAAGAACAGATGAAGAAACAAACTTTCTCTCTCCTTGGTAGAGTTTTGGAGGGCTGTAAGTGTGAGGAATGTTACATATAATGTCAAAAGCAAATCTCTTAAACTTTTCTTTGATAAAAGATGGAGTTCATGGCACAGCCAAGGAATTACTGCTATAAAAGCATAAGGTTTCCATAAAACTTGTGGGAAAAAAGGCTGGCATAAGGATACATATTTCTAAAAACAGATGTAATGGAAATGATGTGACCAGGGAAATGGCAAATATGCCATTTGTGGCAAGGCTATAGCAAATCTGTAGCTATCCTAATGCTTAGATGATTTTAATGAAGAATGACTTTCATCTTTGGGATGGACAAAAAGTACTGGCTGGTGTTTGACAGTAAGAAATGGTTTGTTTTATAGTATAATTATTCAATATTAACGTTTTCCTTAAGGGATGAAAAGTATTTTTAATATTGAGACTAATGATGTTTTCAAGTGGTCATCCCCCTACGTATGGGCAAAATCACATTTAAGCTATTCCTGAAAATGAGTCATCTCCCTTCTTTAAAAATCTTTAATATCTGGAGCTTCTTTAGTTACATGCTCCAATATCTCAAAAACCAGTCATCCAAAGAGTTTTTCTTAAATGCATTTCATGTTCAAAAAATATGCATTAAAATATTTTTAAAAACCTAAATTTCACCAAGCTTCCCTTCCTTCCCAAGACTTGATAAACCCAGTTCCCTTACCCAATACAACACTCAATCAATATCAATGAGTTTTAACCAAATCTGCTGTCTCACTTAACTTGAATGTGACATTGCCTACTTACAGACTATTGTCTCAGGTGTGTCTCAAAAATCCACTTGTAGGCCAGTTTTTCATGCCCACTAATCAAACAGTTCATCTTTCAGTTAACAATCTTAGGCAGCTGTATCCTACATGCCCTCAGGGAATGAGGCCCTGAATTATAGATAATTCAGTGAGTCCAGGTTCTCATGATTTTTCAAAAGCTGAGTAAGGGTTAAAATGAATAATTCTTGGTCTCAGCTTTGGAGGTCCATCAAAACAGAATGACCAAATATTTCAGAGTCTTATTCCAGCTGACCAGTCAAGAGCTAAGTCCCTTCCTTTTTGCAAACCACGTTTGCCCAGAGGTTGGAGATGCAGTCAGATTATAAAGTTAAGCCAAGAGATTTTCAAAGCTTCTACAAGGGTATTTGCCATTCTTTATGGAAAGTTGAGCATTTATTTAAAAAAAAAATAACATTGCTAATAGTTAGTAATGTTATGAAACATTTAGACACTAGTATCACATTTCCCCAGCGTGCTGCCTGCTAATGTAGAAATGGGTCTGAATTTGAGATGAAAAAGCAGCCGGATCAAGTATTGCAAAGACGTCTATGCTGGAGGTGATGGAATTTTGGAGGCACTGATTTTCCTGAGAGCTGAAAGAGGAAAAGAAACGAAAGACACAAAAGATGGGACCGAGAAAATATAAACTACTGGCCACATCCTACGTTCCCAGTGCTTCTCAATTTTTATGAGAATAATCTATACAAACTGAGGTCATCCTTGATGAAGGCAGGAAAGAGGAACAAGTGGGATTTCCCCGAAATTTTCTTCTGTTCTACATCTTTATAGTCAACACAACTGACTGAAGGATATATAGAGAAAAGATGATCTCACTGTGCTGACTGACTATAAAAATATTTGAAGGGAAATTCTGCTCTAAAGACTTTTCAAGAAACTGTCTCCCATGTGTCACAATCATCCAAGATTGTTTGGAATATGGAACAATATAAATTTTCTCAACCTTTTACTTATGAAATGTCAAGCAAAGTGAATAGCACAAAAACATATCCTCAACAAAACTGTTCATCATTGTCACAGAGAAGGTCTCCGATGGAGTCAAAGTCAGGTAAATAGCGGATCCTCAAGATGTTCCTGTGTGTGAATGATGTTATACATACTGCATCAAATTCTAAAAAGGGGGTTCTAAAAAGCTTTCTTTTGTGTTCCGGACCTCTCTGGAAGCCTGGTGAAAGCCTATGGACCCCTTCTTAGAATGGTTTTTTTAAAACGCATAGAATTAAATACACAGTTTTTAATTCTAATCTTAAAAATTACAAACATATCACTATGTAATACAAGTATTACATTATGTTGAAATAACAGTTACCAAAACACTCTCTCTTTTTTTTTTCTTGGTGAGGCAGTTGGGGTTAAGTGACTTGCCCAGGGTCACACAGCTAGTTTAAGTGTCAAGTGTGTGAGGCCAGATTTGAACTCGGGTCCTCCTGACTCCAAGGCTGGAGCTCTATCCACTGCACCACCAAACTGCTCCCAAAACATTTTTTTAAAATGTTCGCGGACCTCAGATTGAGAACCCCTGGGATAGAGCATCCTGAGATCCATGGTCATTCAAAGAGGTTTGGCTTAACTATTTACTCATGAAAAACAGGTGGATGAAGAATGTCTGTGGTCCAGAGGATAACTGGAGATCACAACCCACAGAACTGGTTCATCAGTACATCTTGGACAGACACTGCAGATGGATAATGAGCTGGGCTCAGAACTGAATAAGACGGGAACAAATACATGTTGGATTGCTTTTGGGCAGTCACAAAGTTATTTGAATGACTATGAGTTTCTCCTTGAAAGAGAGACCCATCTTTTAAACACTAATATTGATCTGGTTATGTCACATGGCTGTGAGTCTCAGAAGAACAAAGTATCGTTCAAAGGGCAATGAAGAGGCACATGGTAGATACAAGCAGATCACACACATAATCAAGGAATTGCCCAGGAAAAGTGGGGTAAAGGATGTCTCCAGAGAAATATATATGACTGAAAAAAAAAGTTGAACTAGTCATACAGAGGAAGAGAGTAGCAAGAGACAACCTGCATACTCCCTTGGTGTCCACTTAGTATCAAACTGCATGGACCCCCTGTGATGGACTTGCGGGAGAGCAAAGGTGAGAGTTACACCTAACGAGCAGGCATGGATGAGGAGTGCCATGCATTGCTGGAAGGAATAATGACACAAATTAGGTCATAGTTCCATTGGGAAACATTAGAGAATATAAGGTACTTTCTGATTTATACGGTAACCCTGTTAGGTGGATAAGGCGAGTGTTATTCACAATTTACAGATGAGGAAAGTGAGGTGTTGAAACTTGGCTTGCTCTAGGAAGCATCAAGGCGAGGAATTGAATCCAGTTTTTTTGGAGTTAAAAAGATGATGAAATCTGATTTGTAGGATTCAACTTAATAGCCATAGGTTAAATCATAGGATAGAAATTAAGCCAGGGACTGTAGCAGTGATTCATTGGTATGATGAACTTCAAACTTCCAGATGAAGATGTTCCGTCTGCCAATGCAGATTGGTACCTTCTTTGTAACTTGGAGTATTAGAGAATTACCTAGAGTCCCCTTAATAAAAGGATTTGTTCTGTGGATTCAGTCAAAGGGCCACACTTGAGGACCTAGAGGGCCACATGTAGCCGCGAGGCCATAGGTTCCCCACCCCTGGCCCTACACACTTGAGAAGTTGATCCTTCGTTCTCGAAGAGGACCAATGACCTCACGACGGTGATGTCTTCACTTGCATGTGAATTGTTATCAGCCTCACTCTCTCCTCCAGAGTCATCAAAGTCACTGAAGTCCAGTGGTTCCTAGTTGATGTGGTCAGGGAAGTATCAACATTAACAAGTAGAAGTGATTGCTCCCTTCTCTGTTTCCATGGCATGGCTTACCCCAAGCACTCGTTTGGTACTTGCAATTTCTGACCTTGTATTGCTATATGCAATTATATATTACCATTAGAGAACTAGCCTAGTTCATTTTGGAGAGTCTTAACACGAGTTTCGCCACAAGGTGATGAATTTTTAAACTGCAAACTCTTTGACAGCGGGGACTGAGATTTTTTTTTGTATTTTCTATAATACCCACTAAAGTAATACTTGTTGATTGGTTAAAGGGTTGGGACTCACCTAATCATGGTCTGTTATTTATTGTTTACAAATGCTTCAAACTATGGGAAATCTTTGGTAAAAATAAAAACAATAAAAATATCACAATAGCTTTCACATAAATATTGTACAACAATGCTCTCTGATACACAAGAAAGGAGAGAGGAATATTTAGAATCCTTAGCGAGGAGATGACCTAACTAGCATTCATTGGCTTTTACCACTTGAAACAAAACCATTTTCACATATGTTTAAAATATTTCCGAGGTTCTTATCACTTGTATCAACAATCAGCTCAATCAGTATTTTGAACTTTAAGGTATTTGTATAGCTTTTTATTTAAATAAAAACCAATAATTACACAGTGGCATGTTTTCTAGCTGACTACAGCATTAGATTTTCAAGTCTGTTTACTTCACATAAAACTAAGGGGAAAAAAAACTGAAAATAAAAACCAATATAGTTCTCAGTCAGCCCTCTATGGAAAAGAGGAAAATAAGTGTCATGTCTATTATTACACAGACATTTCTCTAGAGGCATTTTTGTGGAGCCTCAAACATGACCGGCTTTAAGTTGATCCAAGTGAATTCTCAGCTCAGGACACAACTCAATTAGCAGCAGTTCCATCAGCACCTGAAACAGGAAAGAAGAAAAAATAAGTCACTGGAGTTTTCCAAGAACTTGATGAAATTCCTATTTCTCATCTAAATAGGGGAGCCACAATGAACAGAAAATGATCAGAATTCAGTACAGGACTGAATTATTTCATTGAACTGCTAATAATGATCAAATTATTATAAAATAACCATAAATCTTTTAAATTATTTTTTAAATTAAAAATCTATTTTCTCTCCCTCTCACACCAATGGGAAAAGAAGCAAAAATAAAAAAATCCTCATAACAAATATGTATGGACAAGCATAATTAAATTTCCTCATTGGTCATGTTCAAAAAATATATGTCTCTTCTGCACTCTGAATCTAACATAATCATAATTCTCAGGATGATTGGGGGAGAAGGGGTTGGAGATTGAGTACAATGGACCAAATATGAAAATTTGACACTTATTTTAAGATGTCTTGAAACTGAATCACAAAAATTTAAAAAGAAACTTTATAAAGGGATTGAATTCAATTCAATAAATGTTCACTTAATGCCTATTGACATGCAAGGCACTCTGCTGGATGCTCACATGAGAAGCTAAGAAGGATGGGAGGAATGGGCACACTGTAATTAAAATGAGCAAATCTGAGGCATTAAAATCAGAACTATGGAATTTCTGACTTAATTATGCTTTAATTTACTCACATATAATAGATGCTTGTTGGCTCTTGTCTCTTGAAGTGCATTGAATATTTTTATTATACCATGGCGGGCATTTTGCTGTCCAACTAGGCTCTGGAGCATATCTGAAAAAAAAAAAGTAAATTTATATTTTAGACTGTCACTAATAACAAAACACATAATAATTAGTGAGTATCAAATATGTAACAAGATGTTAAAATTGTATGTTAAATATGTAACACTGATAAATGGGAGTATCCTATAACCAGTCAATCCGGAAATGTCAAAAAATTACAGTGAATTGCATCTTTAAAGTTTTCAGTATTTAACTGTTTCCCTAAACTATATTTTAAAATGGGGTTATTAGCCTTTTTTTGGGTGTCACAGACCCTTTTGGTAATCTGGTGAATCCTATAGACTTCATCTCCAAATAACATTTTTAACTACATAAAACAAAATACATAAAATTACAAAGTAAACCAATTATATTAAAATATATTTAACAAAATGTGAAAAAAAAAACACACACAACCAAGTTCATCAACCCCAAGGTAAGAACAACTGCTTTAAAATCTCTAGGGAAGTCATGAAAAATTTTAAGATCAAAACCTATCCAAATTTAGTTTAATTTCCAAAATTCAATTTTGATTTTCATCACCAATAAATTAAGTTCCTAAATATAGCACTGATCCCCAACTAATGGCCGCCTCTGAACCTTTATCACAGCACAAAGGAGATGATGCTAAACTCTAGCCATTTAATTTGATTAAGCTCAACAAGCATTTAAGTGCCTGCTATGTGCCAGACAGAGGTAGCAGATTCCACCAAGGTGGAAAGGCACTATTTGGCAACGGACTGTGTGTCTACTTCCCAAAGCCCAGTGTGGCTAACTGAGATGCTCACACCCAGAAGGATGTCCAACATTTGATCACAACTGATCAGTCAGGCAAAAAGCATTTATTAGGCACTTACTGTGTGTGAGGCATTGTGAAAAGCACTAAGGATACCAAGAAAGGCAAAAACACAATCATTTCCCTCAAGACTCTCACATTCTAATGGGGAAGACAACATGTAAATGACTATATACATACAAGACAATTATATTGTCAATGGCAGATAATTTCTGAGGGAAAGCATAATCAAGAGGGGAGAGGAAATTGGTGGGGAGGAGTGACACTCAGAAAGATCTCCTGGAAAAGGAAGGATTTGGGCAATCTTGAAGGAAGGAGGGTTAAGAGGAAGGAAGTGAAGGAAGTTAAGAGGCAGAGGTAAGGAGGAAGAGCATTGCAGGTATGGGGGATAGCCAATGATGAAGTCAAGAGATGGAGTGTTGGGTTCAAAGGAAAGCAAAGATGTTGCTGGATTGTAAAGTACATGGAGGAAAGTAACATGTAACAAGACTGGAAAGGTAGAAAAGGACCAGACTGTGAAAGGCTTTAAATGCCAAACAGCATTTTATATTGGATCCTGGCACCAATAGGGAGCCACTGGAGTTTATTCAGGAGAAGGGTGGAATGAAGTGTAGCAAGACCTGAGGCAGGGAGACCAAAGAGAAGCCAGTGTAGTTCTCCAGGCATGAGTTGGGAAGGACGTGGACTTGGGTGGTGGCTGGAGGAGTGCAGAGAAGTATATGAAACATGCTGCAAAGGGAGAAATGATGGCACATGGTGAAAGACTGGATACACTGTGAGTATGAGTAAGAATCAAAGATGACACCCTAGGAGGATAGTGGGTAACTGGAGAGTACTAGGGAAATTTAGAAGAGGGTTTGGGGAGAAAGATAACAAGTTCTGCTTTGGATCCATTCAGTTTGGAGACACACAGCAACTTACAAAAAGTACTGTCTATGAAGATTTAAAGGGGTAACGATGTGGTTGGTTGAAGGAAGACCCACATTGCCAAAATCAGGGATACTTGTTAAATTTCGTATACACACACACACACACACACACACACACACACACATATATATGCCTACATATAGGTATATGTATATGTGTGTGTGTATGTGTGTGTGTGTGTGTGTGTGTGTGTGTAGATACACACTCAGACACTAGCTATGTGACCCTGGGAAAGTCACTTAACCCTGTTTGCCTGTTTCCTCATGCATCAAATCAGCTGGAGAAGGAAATGGCAAACTACTTCAGTATCTTTGCCAAGAAAACCTCAAAATGGGGTCACCAAGAATTGAAAACATGACTGAAAACAATTGAACAACACATATATGTATGCATACTTTCAAGGAAAATAATTCAATATATTGGCCAAATCTGAAAATGTCTGCCTTGTTCTGCACCTCTACTCTACCACCTATTTTCCAAGAAGATAGTGGCATATTTCACCATTTATCTTCTAAAGTTATGATTGGCAATGGTCATAATTATTTAGTCAACTCCTTCATTTTACAAATGAGGAAACTGAGGCTCAAGGAAGTGAAGCAAGTTGTCTGAAATCACAATGGTATGTCAGATGCTGAATTTGAACCTAGATCTTCCGATTTCAGAGGCAGTTCTTAAAGACTGATAACCTGTTTCCCCTGTTTTTTCCTAAACTATGATGAACACTCTCAGTTTCTTCTTTAGAACATCCTCTTGGCTACCTTCCTCTGGGTGCTTTTCTTTTCTTTTCTTTTTTTGCTTTTTGGTGAGGCAATTGGGGTTAAGTGACTTGCTCAGGGTCACATAGCTAGTAATTTAGATGCTTTTTTAAGGGTAAAATCATAGAGACCAAAATTTAATGCAAATTTTTTCCTACTGAGTTCTGTTATCCTCTTCTCTGAGTGTGTGTGCATATATATAAATACATATATACACATACACATATATATAACGTATAAATATATACACATACAAACACACACATATGCAGGCACACACACACACACACATATATATACATATACATACATAAATATACTCATATACACATACATATATTCATGGCTCACCTGGAATGTTTTCAAGTAGTTTTTGCTGTGCTCTCTGTTTAGTTTCCTGACTCTGCTCCTCACTCCGGGGTGGCGTGGGTGGGGCTAGCTTTCCATTTGGCCAAAATGCATCCCGAAAAACATTGATATAATAAACCAGCATCGGCTCACTGAAGATCCAGTTCACTGTGTCTCGTATTTGTCTTGTAAGAGAAAAAGGGATTATCACCAAACATTCATATTTTTATAAAACACATCTTTACCCTCATGTCCTTTCAGAAAGGTTTTGAAAGCAGTTAATTGTCTGACAGATCAGAGCTCACCTGAGCTAAATCACCACAGTAGGAGATGGACTTGGTCTAGTCCAACGGGCTAGTCAGTGGGCTAGTCCAGTTACACCCAAGCCTAGATCTGACAGGGCTCTTTCTACACCACCTGAAACCTCCCAGAAAAGGAGGAAAAATTATACTACAAATTGAAGAGCTGAGAAAATATGCCAGTTTTCAATGACACAGAATCAAACTTGTTATTTGTTTTTTTCTCTTGGCCCAGACTTGTGATTTCATAGGCATGGGACATTCTTGGTAAGAACACTCCCAATATCAGTGCATATTCATGACTGTTGTGCATTCGGGTTACCTGAGGGCACCAAGAAGTCAATGACTTGCCCAAGGCAACAAAGCATGCTAGAAATAGGACTTGAACCCAAATCTCTGGGACTCTAAGGTCAACTCCCTTTCCACTATTATGATTCTATTAATGTGATATTGGATTATGATTCTTCACTGGGGCTAACAATTTGCAATTGTCTCATTTTACTGGTTTCTCTTAATCAGAGGTTCTCAACGTTTTCTGCAACATGGACTGTTGGTGAAGCCAATGGATCTCTTTTCAGAAGAATGATGGTTGCCTAGCTTGATAACTGAAGGAAATGCTAAATTTCAATTAGAGATTAGTGAAAATAAAGAAGTGATTTTTCATTTTTCTTTCTAAGTCCATATATATCTGAAATCTAGGCTCATGAGAAACCCCAAGTTAATAATCCTTGCTCTAGGGGGCAGCTAGGTGGTGCAGTGGACAGAGCACCGGCCCTGAAGTCAGGAGGACCTGAGTTCAATTCTGGCCTCAGACCAAACACTTGACACTTATTAGCTGTGTGACCATGGGCAAGTCACTTAACCCCAATTGTCTAAAAGCAAAAAAAAAAAATCCTTGCTCTAATTGTTTGCCTGGTACACCTCTTTAGTGTAGAGACAATGACTGAGAGTTTATTAAAGTTTGTAAGGAGTATTGCATAGTGTAGGCTAGTATTTTATACTACTATCTAAGGAACAGGGCAGCTAGGTGGCGCAGTGGATAGAGCATGAGGCCTGGAGTAAGGAAGACTCAGCTCCTGATTTCAAATCTAGCCTCAGACATTTACTAGCTGTATGACCCTGGGCAAGTCACTTAACCCTGTTCGTCTCAGTTTCCTCATCTGTCAAATGAGCTGGAGAAGGAAATGGCAAACCACTCCAGTATCTTTCCCAAGGAAACCCCAAATGGGGTTACACAGACTCAGACATGAGTGAAAGGATTGAACAGCAACAAATTTAAGCAACTCATTGGACCAAGAAATGCTGCAGATTGAAAACAGAAACAGATTTAAAAAGCCTTTCACAAATGATTGATGTAGGGGCAGCTAGGTGGTGCAGTGGATAAAGCTCTGATCTTGGAGTCAGGATGACCTGAGTTCAAATCAACCTCAGACACTTGATGCTTACTAGCTGTGTGATCCTGGGCAAGTCACTTAACCCTGATTGCCTCACCAAAAAAAAAAAAAAAGGTTGATCCATACTGGATCATGAAGGGATATTTGGGAATACATATTTGTATATAATTTTTTGCCAATTAAAAAGGAAAAGGAAGCACTGGTACTCTAGGTCTCTTGGTGCTGCTATGAGAAATGCAATATTAGGATGTATGGATCATTGTTCTTAATCAGCATGGTCTACATTCCTTCTGTAATACGAACAGCTCAAATTTCTTTAACTCTTAAGATGACAGGGTACTATCTTCTCCAGAGATCTGTGAAGTTACATAGTATCAATATCATTATCTCCATTCTACAGATGAGAAAATGGAATCAGAGTAATGAAATGACTTGCTCGAGTTACACCCAAGCCTAGATCGGACAGGGCTCTTTCTACGCCACCTGAAACCTCCCAGAAAAGGAGGAAAAATAATACTACAGATTGAAGAGCTGAGAAAATATGCCAGTTTTCAATGATGCATGATGAATAAGGGTAGGACAGATAAGTAACATGGAGCTGAGCCACCACTTGGGCCAACAATTTCAGAACTAGAATGCAATCGGACTGGAATAATTTCAAACTCTTCCCCATCTTGTCTCGTAGCCACTAACAGGAAAGAACATCACTGAATTAACAAGCACTTATGAAAGGGCTCACCACGGGCCAAGCACCATGTTAGATGCTAGAAATACAAGGACAAAAACCAGTCTCTGATGTCAAGAAGCTTACATTTTATCAGAGGAATCAACAAATACACAATTTTTTTTTTTGGACTGGTCTTGTGATTTCAATGGAACAGGGAATTCCCTCTACCAATTCTAGTCTCAGAGAGTTGTTAGGGCCACATAGAAGTTAAGTAACCTGCCCAGGGTTACACAGTATGTATCAGAGGTGGGGCCTTAAACCCTGGTTTCTAATTCCAAGGCCAGCTTGCTGTTTCCTTATGCCACATTACTCGTCATAAATAAATCAGAACTGCCATGGAGATGGAGAGGCTTTCCTAAAGCACCAGCTACAGACAGCTTGGGACTGGGGCATCCGGGATTTTTTATGGAGAATCTTGGGAGGGAGAAGAGATCTGGGGTCAAAAGATGGAAAGTTTGAGCTTCATATTCCATCTTGACACCACATGGACTTCTTCCATAGCTGAACACATTTGTGGCCACTGATCTGTACTCCTCCGGCCTTCCCTACAAAGCCACCGAGAAGAAACAATGAAGTTGATGCTGGTTGTGAAAGGGACTATGACCACTGCATTAATTATACCAGGTTTACTGAGGTATCTGTTCCTTAAAGACAATTTCCCTTTCCCAGGACTTAGAGTCCCAGAAGAAATCAAATGCCTCCATCCATCTCTGGGAGAGAAAGGAGTTAAAGCAGCCAAATTTCTGCTGCCATCAGTAATGTCTGTGCTGCCTGCATAAGCCCCTTCCCACTGACAAGCTGCTCTTTCCTCCAGTACTATTTATTCCTGTTATTAGATAAAGAAATTAATAGCTACTAACAGTTGTTGTGTGGTCATGGAGATAGCAAATGGAAGGGAAGGGTAGCTGGAGAAGATGGAGGACATATCTAGCACCTAATGTGAGACATGATGGGAGTTGGTGGAGTAATGATTTCTTCCCCAGAAGATAACAAACCTTCTTGGCTACTCTGCTATAGAATTCTTTATCCAGGTGAAGATGATAAACCCAGTGAAAAAAGAAACACAGATAGAGAGAGATTTCTAATTCCCCCAGATTAGAGATGTTTTATGAGCCTTTCTAGGATGAAGAGGGAGAGGGGAATGTCTTCTGTGTGGACCTTGTAGGTCCTATTTAAATTCTTCACTGGGGCACACCTGGGCTCTCCTCCAATATCTAGCCCCGTTTTCAGTAGCCAGTTTACACTGGCTGGAGATACTTGAAGAATGGGGACTCTTATTTTCCCCCTTCAATTAGCACCAATACCCATCACTGGTAAGTGGCTGAAAGCATTTCTGATGCAGGGTACAAACAGTAAATACAAGGCAATTTTGTGGGAAACACCAGAGGCAGAGTTGGGGAGTGGGGATGGAGGCAGAGAGGAAAGGGAGGGGGGAGGCAGGCATAGATCAGGAAGGGTCTGGTGTAGGAGGCGGCATCTGAACTAAACTTGGAAGGAAATAGGGATTCTGCAATGTGGAAATGAGGAGAGAGTGCCTTCTAGGCATGGGGAAGGCAAAGCAGAGAGAAAGGAGATGTGTGAGCACCATTATAAAAACCAGTTTGGTTGTAGCGTACACTAACATGCATGAAACCTGAAAAGGGAGGTGGGACCTAGGTGGGGAAGGGATTTACAGGCTAAGTAGACAGAGAGTCACTGGTGCTCATGGAGAAGGAACATAACCAGGTCAGATCTGTGCTTCAGAGATATCACTTTGGCGGGTATGTGGAAAGATTATTGTAGAAGAGAAACACTTGAGGCAGGGAGACCAATTAAGAAGCTATTGCAAAGGTCCAGGCAGGAGGTGCTGAAGACCTGAACTACGACATAGCTGTGGGAGTAGATAAAAGAGCACAGGGAGAGATGTTGAGGAGGGAGAACTGACAAGACCTGACAATGTACTAGACATGGAGGACGAAGAAGAGGAAGAAGTTCAGGGTAACTGCTTCTTAGTTTTCATTTTCTTGTCTTCCCCTGTGGCCCAATATAATGACTCATGATTTAGAGTCAGGGGAGCTGGATATTGTCAGTTCTGCCATTTAGCATCACAGTATTAGAGATTTAGATGGAGAAGGGATCTCTGGGGTTTCTTAAATCATTTTAGTGCCATGGATCCCCTTAGCCAATCTAGAGAAGCCGATGGGCCTCTTTTCAGATGGGTGTTTTTAAATGCATAAAATAAAATATGTAGGATTACAAAGGAAACCATTGCAATATAGTTAACAATATTAAAAAACAAACAAGTTCATGGACCTGAAATTAGGATCCTTGCTCTAGTATAACCCACCTCATTTCATATTTGAGGAAACTGAGGCTCAGAAGTAAAGAGACTTGTGCAAGGTCACACAAGTTAGTGTCAGCGGCATGTTTTAAGCCCGTGTCTGATTACTCCTGAGCCAGCCCTCTCTTGACTGTACCAAGCCGCCTTCTACCTACCTATCTGACCTATATATCTACCTATGTTCCCTTCATTTCCCTGCCCCCATTACGCCCTCCGGAAGATGAGAGGGTTAGACTTGATGACCCTAAGGTCCCTACCAGCTCTAAATCCAAAATCCTTTGCCTTGGTTTGCTGTCTGACGGTGTTAACGAAAGGTGGAAAGCCAAGCAGGGATCATCAGTGGGAGGCAGATGGGTGCCATAGTGGATATCACACTAGACTCAGGGACATGAAGACCCAAGTTCTAATCCTGCCTCTGATATTTACTAGCTGTGCAATTCCGGGC